GGACAAATTACGCCTCGAATAGCACATATGGAGGGCAGCGGTAGAGTGAAATACATGTACCAGGGAGATACCAGACGGATTCGACGGGGCAAGAGGGAGACTTTGATATGACCCAGGTAAGGACTGCGTTACACTATGACAGACTCTGGTCAACATTCCCAGCACGAGGGTCAAGGGAGTGATAACGACAGTCTGGAGTGTGAATGGTTTTGATGAATGCCGCTCGAAGGAGTACACAACACTACATTAAGAATAAGCACGGTAAAAACTGTGACAGGGAAGGCCTGATAGGAGGATATAGAAAATGTGAATAGGCCAGGGCGGAAATGGAGATACCATCGCTGTTTAGCATACGTTTTGTCAAAGGTTGGGCTTCACTTGTCCCTTTGACGAGTTGGTAATATGGTGCTACGGATGGCAAAACTCACTGTCGATGCCGATTACGTTTCTGGTGAAACGTTTGGGAATGTACCACGTCCACAGTCCTACTCTGGAAATGATGATGCATACAATGGAATCCGGACTAGGTGCGTTCCTTTAAGTCTTCGTACTAATATGACCGAGTTGCGAAAACGAGGTCAAACAATATGAAGTTCTGTTTCATTTAGTGGAGAATTTAGATAATGCCTTTGGTTCAAAATGGAAACTAATCTAAATAGAATTAACTTACTCAAAAGATTGCATATTGCAGATCTATAGTCAACATCTAAAGAGCTGCTACCATAGGCAGGATGCTGATCTAACTTAGAATTTATACAGGTCAGTAGTCCTATGGACTTTCTTGCATATCCTGTCCTGGCAGTTTCGCCAACGTCATCTTGTAAGCTGTTTTTATCTGAAAGACTGTCAACCTCTTCGTCTTCCGTGGTTGATTCATCGCAAATTCCACTTATCTCCAAAACAGCTCTCTGCGTATCTGGCTCTCCTTCATTCTCTGAGTTCGGCTCATCAGTGGCAGATAGCTGTTCGATCGCCACTGAACTATCACTTGTTGGAAGAAAATTTGGTATTTTATTACTGTCGAGTTTCACTCCTGAAGCAAATGACACATTCATGTTGGCGGAATCAGCTGGTGTGGGAGTAATGGCACCAGAATCTAATTTCCTTATCGATGAGGAAGAAGCGTGTGAGAGAGATTTAGCCGTAGAGACAGTAGTTTCTAAAGTAATGGGTTCCTGGGTCATTGACGATGCGGCTATATTACTCGTTGAATCAAGATGCTGGTGGCGACGTGCAGCGGGTAGCATCGATGCAACCACATGCTTCTTCAGTTCATGATACCATCTAAAATTGGAATAATGAAGTTTAACTCAATTTTGGCTGTCAAGTTCATGAAGGATATGTGCTATTATAGACAAAACTTTGAACAAAACTACGAACAAAGAAGACAATTGTAAGTCAATCCTGCCACTTGACCTTTTTAAATTGTTTTAAGCATTATGGTATCGTTCTGCGTTTGTGCAATCTAATGAGGAAGTATGATTCGGACACAGTTAATGAAATACTTTATCACGCCTCCAACCATAAATTAGAGGAAAGTTACGAGACTGAGAGGCGTAAGCTATTTAAGTTCATAGATCTCAAGTCTAGA